CACAGTTGACATAAAATATCAGGTAATATCTGAGGACCTGAGAGTGGTGTTGATGAAATGGCTCCTTTTATTTTTACAACGATGATGGAGTTTCTTAGACTTCAGCAGGGGAATCAAATCCCATCACACATCACTATTGGAAATCTGAGAGGTGGAGAAGAGCAAAGAGACACTCAGAGAGCAGTGAGTTACACTGATACCTACAGACCATCCCCGTCACACCTGACAGTCTGTTTGTGTTAAAGTGTAGATGCAGAGAGAAAACCTCTGCTTTGTTTTCTTTTGAAGGCTTTGAGAGTTTGAACTTGAGGATTTTGACTAAAAAGAAGCCAAACCTCTACTGAAACTGGTGAGACTAGAAAACTCACAAGACTTGTGGTAATTTGGAGATTTGTTTTTTTCATTATTTTTACATAATATCTAAACAAAACTGCACTGTAAATATGTTTTCTGTTTCAGGTATGGGTAGTGAACATTATTAATAATGAGGGACATAGAGTTTCAAGCCTGGATGCTCCTTAAATTTCCAGAGGCCATACCTCCTAAATTTCAGTGAGTTACATCTGACGTACGTTTGTTAACGGTCCAGCTACAGTGTTTCAGTATTTCTGTGATGCTTTAAATATGTTTAAAAGATCCTTCTTTTAACTTTTTAACTTGAACTTATTCTACAGAACACCTAAACTCCTCAACGTGGTCAGAAATTACATTAAAATCCTTAAAGAGAAGAAGCAGGAGCATTGCTCCAAACTGCTCACCGCACAGGAAGTGGTAATAGCAGTAGTTCTTAGAATGCTGCACGGCTTCTGGGAGCGTCCTCCTCCCCCTCCTCCCCCTCCTTGATCCCTTTGGATCGAGTCTCCAAAACTATCACATCAATAGAAACCCAGGCCATCTTCTCCCGTGGCATCAGAAATGACATGGTCCAGACAATCCTGACAGAAATCAAAAAGAAAAATCCTTTAAAAGTTCTACTCAACAACATTGCAAACTTTGTACCAGTTCTGCTCACTACAATTGCTAATGTAGCAAAGAACCATATCATCATCATCACCTTTATTTATAAAGCACTTTAAAACAACCACAGCTGACACAAAGTGCTGTACATAGGAACTATATAATAAAAGTACATAAGATATAAATAAAAGAAAAAGTAAAATAATTAATTAAATAACTAATTTCATTACAAGAGAAACTAAGTCTCACTGAGGTTAAAAGCCAAAGAATAAAAGTGGGTTTTAAGACGTGATTTAAAAGTGGACAGTGAAGGGGCCTCGCTAACGTGCACTTGCAAATTATTCCAGCACAGATCTAGAGCGAGAGAGTGGGCTGGAAAGCCTGCAGTGAAATACTGTATAAAGTCCTTGTACAAATAAACGTTGTGCAGGAAACTGTCTGCTGGTACAGGTCCTTGTTGCACGAGGATATACTAACTAAACAACAGCTTTGTTCTAGTCAAGTTTCTCTCTAAATCAAGCATAACTAGGTCTTAAATATTCTTTACACCTGTACACTTGATCTTTATTCTGTACAGCTGAGCTATGACATACTGCCACAGATCTCTTTTAAAGCCATTTTGACAAGAAATTGTGTTTGAATAAAAGTGTTTCCTGTAGCCTTATGATGGCACTGTACCTGAATAAAAGTAACAATTTTCTCATAGGGTTAATAACATGTCTACCAACTATTTCATGTCCAAATAACTGCTGAGAGTTACTTCAAAAGGGTTATTTAGTAGCAGGTTATTTTGTTTACATAAAAATCAGTCACTGTGTATATTTAACACTTAAAATTCGATGTGATGCCATTATCCTGCCTATGCCTAGCAACATAAAAAGGTCCAAAAAGGTTAAGTATGCAGTGTACTCTATAGAGATAGAAGTTACTGACAAATGACCAATGCCTGAAGATTGCTGTCTCATAGATATTCAGTGCCACCTAAAGGCAGTAACTGACAAGTAAGACAGCACAGAAGTTACATGATTACATCTTACCACAAGAGGTCGGTACAGAAAGGAAGAAACTGAACTTTTAAATCACAAATACATTAATATAGTGGACACAAATTATGAAGGTTAAGGCATAAAAAGGTACAGCATAAAAAGGTAAGCAAGGTAAACAGGTTGAAATTAGTTTTTTTTTTTCTTTTTTTGCACACAGTCCAGTAAAGACTGTATACTTTTCCTCTGCTCTAAATGTGTGTTTTTCAGGCTTGATGCTTCTTTTTTTGTTCTGCACTTACAGAGATTGTTGCCTTGGAAAATCCCAGTAGAGTTTCTGAAATACTCAAATCAGCCCATTTTACAGCCGCAGCGATGCCACGTTCAAAGTCACTTAAATCACCTTTTCTTCTCACCATTCTGATGCTCAATTTAAACTTCGGTGGGTCATCTTGACCTTGTCTACGTCCCTAAATGCACTGATTTCCAGCCATGTGACTGGCTGATTAGATATTTGTGTTAATGAGCAGTTGAGCAAGTGTACCTAACACAGTGTCCAGTGAGTGCATTTTAGTCATCAGGCCCTTTAAAATGTGATACTGCCTTTTCTGTCTTAATATTTCTAGTAACATTACTTAAACTGCAGTGAGCACATGAAACATCCCTGCAGATTTCTTACTGAAGTCTTCACACAATGGAAAGTGTGTTAACTTTGAAAATATTTGTTAGTTATGGTGGTAAATTGAATTTATTTGCTACAAACAGTGACTAAATCTAATTTACTCCTGACCCCATGGGCCCCAATATGAAACTTGAAGCACATACTTTTATACTTCAGTTGATGGTTTTCTTGTCCAAATTGCCCAAATAGACTTTGAAGTTTTAGATTAAGCTTTAGAGTAATTTTTCAGAACTACAGTAATTTGTTTAGCTGTTTCTGCAATATGTGCAAAACAGTTGAAAACACCGGTCAGACGAGGGTCATAAATAGATTCACTGCAGTGCTTCCAGATGGGACTTTCCATGTTGTTTGGTTAAGCATTTCTGGGTCATGCTGTTTTGTGAACATTGTGTCTACTGCAGCGTCATAAAGCGAAGATAAGCGCTCTAGGACCTCCACGCTGTTTACAAACACACGGGTGAAGACGTGCAACACGTTGGTTGGGTGCAACAGAAAGTCATACGACTAAAGTGCCCGCAGGCTGTGTTTCCGCACTTATCTTTGCAGTGTTCCAGTGCTTTAGCGTCATACTGAACTGTGTGTTTGTTGAAATTAATTTTACATCCCTTTTAAGCTGAAATTATCGCAGCCAAAATAAGGCTATGAGAGACCGTGACAGATCTTGAGGATCAAAGAACAGAACATTCTGAAAAACTCTCACATCTTATTTCATCACGTGACGAAAGCACCAATACCAAAATGTGTACAACTGAAACGGGGAGCGTGTTTTGTTTGCATGTCTTGTGTTCTCAGTGTCATAAAAGTGTGAGTCACCAAGCAAAGCTTTAGGAAAAGACTCAGGTGGCTACCTAAAGACAGGGCAGGTTGAGTGGGTATGACTTAATTAGATACCCTTTTAATCAAGTTTAACAAGTGCGGGCCTTATTCCCATGCATACATTCTCTAATGTTTGGCCTCAGGTGCACGTTCAGCTTCAGGTAACCCATAGTTAGATTTATTCTGAAGTGGGGATTCATCCATCTTTACATGCACACTGTCAATACAGCCACAACAGACAACAATTAATACAAAATAATACAAAATAGTGAAAAAAACTGACTAAACATAACTTGGACTTGATAATATATTATTCAGCTGTGGTTCACCATTCAGCCTGTTAGTTTCTTTTCTTTACAGATAAGTATTTAAACCACTACACCAAAGAAAAAGATCAAACAAATTGAAATTGGTTACAGGCAGAAATGCTGCAATTAACAGAAATCCAAAGCACACTATTATACTATTATACTATTGTAAATTTAATGTGCTTTGTTTTGTCACCATTGACTTTCATAAAGATAGCAAATAATCTGAAGGTATTTGCCAACAGGTGCAAAGAATCCACAGTGATGGCATATTTACTGCATATTGTTTTTTAATGTACTTTGGAAATTGAACAGCATGGCTATAAGTATAATTTATATTTGCATTAATATGTTTATAAATAATTCCACTTTGAATTCCGACTAATAGTCGGACATCTCCTGCCTTGTCCGTGTGATTTTTATATGCAAAGACGGTTGCTTACATTTTACAGTGCATTTGTATTTAGTCGTATTGGTAATAATACCAGAAGCTTTCTCTTTGGCTAAACAGAATACTGGAAGATAATCAGTAAATGAAAACCACAGATATAAGAGTATACACTCTGCAAAGATAGCTATTTTCATCTGGTCTGTGTGTTTTTTTCCACTAATGTGGTAAAAACCTGCTGTGGTAATATTCAGGTATTTTCTTCCTTTTTCTCACAAGTTTGATGCAGACAGCAGACCCTTACTGGCACAGTCACAGAGCGTTTAAATATTGAATTCAACAGAAATCAAGAAAATGTGTTATTTTAATCTGTTGTGTTCGTTGTTCATTCACAGCGAACTGCTGAGCTAAACACAAAGCAGGTGCAAAGTTTCAGCCACGCCTGAACAATACTATTTATCTCTGGAAATTAGACAGATGCTGATAGCTGATATCTTTTGACAAATGTGACATTTAAAAAACAATTACTGCTTTCTAGAAAATGTTGTTTTCACATTCTGTTTATGATTTTACATAGTGTTTATGCCCTATACATAGTATTTTCCTAAATATAAAATATAGCAGCTATAGCTCTGTAGCAACCACAAAAGTGCGTGTGAGCTGTTCCCTGACAAACGGAGCAGTTGTATTCTTGAGCTCATTTACTGGGTGGCCCTATTTGGAAAGTTTATGGTTATGCAACCTGAAAAAACATCACAGATGTACTGCAGCCTGTATAATTTTCGGAAATGCGTATTTGGTATGCGCTCACGAATGCAGAGCGTTAATTGGTCGAACTGAACGTTCAAGCCACGCCCACGAGCCGTTGATTACCTTTTCCTCTTCCCCAGCCTCCTTTTCCAGTCTATCTCCACCCCACTCTCAGGCAGAGAAGACACTACTCGAGCGACGCGCGTTCTTCGCCTAAACATATGGCAAAAACAGCCGTCTTTCTTTCTTATATCATTGTGCCCACTACTCTTTAAAAATTCCGCCGAAAAAGAGAAGACGATTTTCCAAAACCTTCTGGCCGTTATCTCACGTAAGTACAGCGAAGTACTTCGATTGAGTTCTTTGGATTCAGCGGGCGGACGTAACATGGCGGGCTCGTCTTTCTGCCTTCATGCTGCACATGACCGAGCCACATATTGAAATATGTGTTTTCCGGGTGTTTTCGTGTTCAGCTCAATGTATTAAGAAATTGTGACGCAGTCACGGCACCACTATGTAGCTTTTATTCGTTTATTGTGTCATTTAGCGGCTTGTTATTGAAATTCTAAGGACACCCAGCTCTAACGTAAGCTCCTTCCGTCGTCAGTTAGCGGTTCTGTCGTTTCCATGAACCTTTCAGCAGTGTGTTTTGTCACAATGGCGTTTCCTTTGAGCAATACAAATTTCTTTTAACTAGTCAAATGTAACGTATTACATCTGTTTGCTCTAGTTAGGGGTTATGCTTTGTCTGCGCATTGAAATAATACTCAATTTGTCAAGTTGTGACACTGTTGTGAGTACTACAGCGCATGCGCGTGTTTTATTTGGACGGCTATCGCGTAAGGAGTACCAGCAGCCATAAAAACACTAACGACAGGGGTAGTAGTTCAGTTACAGGCATTAAGTCGGGTGTAACTGAACCGATAAGGGCGTTGTGTCATTCAGGTTTTGACCCATGACAAATATTCAATAGATAAGACCTAAACATCAAAAGCAACAATCAGGATTGTTGAGCCTCCTTAACAACGCTGTGCTACATGTTTCCTGAAAGTGTCTTTCCTCTGGATCTATATCTAATACTGAGTATGCTTGTACTTCAGGGCTCCCCTGTCTCTGCACAGGTGTATGAACGCTACCCAGAGGGCCTAGGGGCGGCTCTTTACCGGGAGCACTTTGACTTCAACGCTGAGCCACCTTGGGATCCTAGCTGATAAAGGGACAGGTCCATCTCCTGACTTGTCCATGTGAGTAGCTATGTGTGTCTTATACACAAAGATGCATGCCTTTTTTGTAGTGAAGGTGTGTGTGAGTGAATGACTAAATTCTGCACACAAAGCTGGTTTGTTTGTTTGTTTTAAAGGCCATAGTCATATATTCCTTTCTTCTTCTTTGTTTTTGTTTTTTTTACCTCTTCTCTCCAGTTTGTTGCATACCGGCAGGACCCATTGGCTCAGTCGTGACCCCCTGACTTGTTTATCTGCTCTTTATGATTGTCGGATTAACGGAATACGGTTGAGATGAAAGGACTCGCTGACCAACCCAGCTACATCATTGAACTACTGGAGGGAGGAGTGACTCTGGAAGATGTCATTGATGGACACATCTGTGAACAGGCTCTGGTCAGTTCAGCTTCTATAACACTCTCTTGAGGCTATCCCCGAATCCTATTTTGCATCAGTGAATTACTTAATCTGATGGGATTTGTAGTTATACATGTTTGATAAATTTGTTTACCTGCACCCTACCTTCTTTCTGATTTCTCAGGTGGAGAAAAGTGCTTTTGTGGTGGGTGATCTCGGTGCACTGATGCGACAGCATTTGTGCTGGCAGAGCCTGGTGCCACATGTGCAGCCCTACTACCCAGTCAAGTGCAACAGCAGCCCTGCGGTCATTGAGTTGCTGGCATCCTTGGGCCTAGGCTTCATTTGCGCCAACAAGGTAAGCTTTTTCATGTAGTTTTGACTCAGTCAGTAATTATTTTTAAGCTGCAAAGTGCTTCATCCTCTTATGTAAGCACTTCATTTTTTTAAGGGCAATTACATTACAAGCATCATTGATTGGTAGTCAGCTGATGACTGTTATCCTTTCAACTTGTGCAATGCATTTAGTACTGCTTTTGATTGTTTTAATGAGTGTGTGGTTTTATTTTTTATTTTGTTTATTTATTTTTTTGTGCATCCTATTATCTGCAGGCTGAAATGAGCCTGGTGCTGGATTATGGTGTACCACCGGAAAGCATCATCCTCTCAAGTGTGTTCAAGCAACTGGCACATATCAAGTATGCTGCCAAGAACAACATCCAGCATCTTGTGTGTGAAAATGAGGCAGAGTTGTCCAAGATTGCCCGTCTGCACCCTAATGCAAAGTAAATGAGCAAACTTTTTTTTTTAATAAACGCAAAGTCCAAAAGAAGATCCATGGTCTAATTTAAAATGCATCTGACTCCCCTCCCACCCCTTCCAGATTGCTGCTGCAGTTGACCACAGAGGCCCATGCAGCTGAGACCAGCATGACCTTCGGCTCCTCTCTAAAGAGCTGCCGACACCTGCTGGAAGCAGCCAAGGAGCTGGGAGTCGAGGTGGTGGGGGTAACCTTCCACATCCCCAGCTCCTGCCAGGACCTGCAACAGGCCTACACCCATGCACTGTCAGATGCCCGCTGTGTGTTTGACATGGGGGTGAGTGCTGTCCTAATTATGAAATCATAACTCTAGTAGTAGACATATATTAACTTGATACCCCCACCCCCCAGTATTCTGTCTTGAAATGACTTTATCTGATATGACAACTGTCTTTATCTGTATCTACTCAGGTGGAAGTGGGGTTTAACATGAACATCCTTGACATTGGTGGTGGATTTACTGGCTCGGAGTTTCAGCTGAAACAGGCAAGTAGTGAACTGAAGTGAGTCATTTAGAAATGCTTCAATCTTCTTTTTAACTGCTTTATTAGCAAGAAACATGAAGTTACAGGTTTCAGCTCCAAAAGCATTTATTCCTATGATCCAGTCCTTTGTTTTTGTCTTTTTGTTTTTTAATCTGAAAATATCTGATCTCTCTGTTCATTGTATGCAGGTTGAAACTGCAGTCAGGCCACTGCTGGATGCCTACTTCCCCCAGCTTTCTGGTGTGCAGGTCTTGGCCCAGCCGGGCAGCTTCTACGTGGCCTCCGCCTTCAGCCTGGCTGTCAACGTGATTGGCAAGAAGGTGGTGACTCGTCACTGGGACAGCCTAGCTCAAGGTGAGTTACTTTACTCTCTGAGGTTGTGATTATTTAATTAATTTTTCACACAATCAGAACCAAACTAGTTGAAGTAATTCTTGTTTTAGATTTCTAAAATGGTTATCTAATGTATTCACTCAGGTGAGAACAATGAGGATACTGAGTTCCTGTACTACATGAATGAGGGTGTTTATGGTCCATTTGGCCGCAAGCTGCTGGGAAACTCCATCCCTGCCCCGTCAGTACACAAGGTTAGTAGAGGAGATTAAACTCAATTCATGACTGAATAGATCATGTGATAGCAGCTCTAAGAAGATGTCAATTTAATTTTGAGAACTTGAGGAAGAAGTCTTGTTTTAGATTTTTATCATTGAACCGTAATAAGACACCACATTAGTTATTGTTTTTCCAGACTAAACCAATAACTGTGTATCCGTCTGATCTCACATCAGATGATATATGAAGAGCTATAGTGTTAGTGTACAGAAGCAGTGGATTACACTGATCAAGACCATGTTGCATTGTGGCCCCTTGAGCGTTCCCAATGACTAAATAATAGCTAACACTGTCCAAACAGAGAAACAAACATGGAAAACGCATGAGTCTGTGCTAATACTGCACGTTGTAGTGCTTTAAACAGCAGATGGTGTGTTAACTATACTTTTATTTTTTATTTTATTATTATTTATTTTATTTTTTTCTTCCATAAGTGTTCCCTCCTTGAGTGCTAATTGCTCTTGGTAATGATCAGCCTCAGCTGGCCTCTTCCTCAGGTTTACTCTCCACTTTACATTTCCATTGTCCTGGAGAACAAAATCCTAGATAATCCAAAGCAACCTGATACGTTAAGGGTTCAAACGTTTCCCCTTCTGGGCTTTGAGCAACTCATAATGAGAGCTGTGAAACTAAAACCATTAGGTAAAGGAACTAAGGCTGTATCTAACTGATTAATAATTTCAGCGGTCCAGGGTAAAATTCACGCACATGGTTACTGTTGTCTGGTTTTTTTTGCCCGTTTTGATGGGTTTTGTTTGCCCCACCCCCCCAGCGTGCATTGTGTGCTGAGGAGGCAATGTATGCCAGCAGCCTGTGGGGGCCCTCACTGGACCCCTTGGACCAGGTGGTGGAGCGCTGCCTGCTACCAGAGCTCAGTGTGGGAGACTGGCTTCTGTTCTCCAACATGGGGGTGTGCGGCCTAGAGGACCTAAGCTGCCTCTCCACTGCCCCCCCACTGCCCGTCTACTACACAGTCTCCACCTCTGACTGGTGAGTACGTTGGTGTCTGCCACTCATGAAAATGTAGCAACGATACGAGACATTAAGAGAATTGATCGTAACACTGTTGTCCTCAGGTACGAAATGCAGGAGGCCGGCGTGACACTGGGTGGCGCCATGAAGAACTTCTCGTTTCTCCCGTACAGTCCCTAAGTACCCTCAGCCTAGTATTTTATTGCACAGATCTGCCTTACCTCTGCTTTCACTGTGTGAGAGGAGAGGTCAGTGTGGTGTTTGGGATGAGGGGTTAAATGTGGTCAACATTCCAGCCGCTTTGGAAAACAGCAGTGTCCTGTAATTTCTTCCAGAATTTCACTTTTGTACCTCCAGCAATGACACACGGTTGGTTGTTTGATACCTCAGTTCAAATTTTTTCCTGGAAGATGATCCTAGTTTTGACTCTTTGCGACTTTAATCTGTTTGCTAAAAGAACTCTTGCCCAAGCTTTTATGACATTATGCAACAAAATGGATGACTCTTTGGAGATGGGACCCCCCACCCCACCCCTACCCCCCCATATGTTTGGGGTGGTTTGTTTCCTAATTAAAATTCAGTTTACAAAATGTACAATTGATTTAGATCCATTGAATCACATGCTTTGTATTGATTACCTATCAATAGTTGTGTAGCTCCTGTGTCTGAGAACAGTACATTTGGTCTGTAGGCAATTTTTGAAGTGTTTAAAAGAATCACTGCCACGTGAGGACTCTGCACCTCGGACTCCTCACTTGGCGCTGCTTAAATGAAATAATGACAATGATGTATTTTTCTGTATTGCAGTTCACTCAATGCATCTTGTTTTTGTTTTTAATATTTATTGGATTCAGATATAATTTGGGCAAATTTAAAGCTCCATCCTTGTGTGTTTATTGCCCAGGTATTAATGCAATGGCCCATTTAACAGTGTTTTCGTGATAAGTTATTGGGTTTTTGTTTGTTTGTTTTTTGTTTTTTAAATGATACATGGATTACGTGTGCTGTGATTTCCATTTGTGACCTCAGTGGTTTCCTTTTACTCGAAAGCCCTGATGGAATTACTGTAGGAGATTCCCTCTGTGCTGAACTGTAGCTTGGATCCAGGGACACTGTATTCAGTGCACTCCTTTCTCTCAGAGGTTAATCTGGTTTAAAAGGCACAAAATCTTATGTGGGTTAAAGGAAAAATACTGTGACACTTGTCGAGGGGATTGGACCTTGTTCACTAGCTCCTTTGCTGGCTCTGAAAACCAACAAAGGAAGGAGGGATTTTCTCTCTCTCTCTCTTTTTTTTTTTTTTTTTTTTCTTTTCCTTTTGACACATGCTCAAACACAAATGATTTGTATGTGTCAGATATGGATTTACATGTCTGTATCTTTAAAGTGAGAGATGCTAGTTGTACACAGACCTCTCTGGGGCAGTGCAAATGCTAAATAACATGACAGACCTTTCATGCCTCTGAAGTCGAGGGACTTCCTGCACAGTCTCCTCTACAGCTACATGTTCACTCATGTTAAAGATGACCTGAAGCATCGGTTTTTGTTTTTGTTTGTGTTTTGTTTTTTGTTTTGTTTTTTTTAAATCAACTCTCGCCCCTGTGTGTCACGAGTGACTAATGTATTAATTTGCTTGTCTAAGGCACTAATGGACCATAGCCTGTTCTTTGACTGTACATTGTGCTCGTTAAAGTAATAAGTGATTAATTTAATATACATTTCTGACTGAAATCATTTCATCTGGTGTTTGTGTGGTTTTTGGCATTGGTGGGTGGAGGGGCTGGAAATACAACATTGTTCCTGTAGGCCAGCATAATTTGGAGCTTTAGCAATTTGTTGCATCCCACAGCTAGGGTTATTTTGAAGACAATGACTTTACTTGGATATACAGACTCTTTAAATCTGAAGAAAACTTAATACTACTACAACAGCCTAGTTATAGACAAACCTGGCCTTTAACTGATTCACAGATCTAGTGACATCACCTCATTTTAACTCTGTAAAAACTACAAACACCTAACACAAATCTTGTGGTTAATAAAGTTAACAAAAATCTAATGCTAGTTAACAAAAGTAGACTTGAACTAAAAACTGAAATAAGTTGATGTTTTAAACAGCCAAGAATGTGCTGCACCAACCAGTATTATTCTTACATTTATTATATTTTTTTTAGTTATTGGTGTTTAAAAAAAAAAAAAAAAAAAAAAAAAAAAAAGGGGGTTTTGTTTGTTTGTTTTGTTTTGTTTTTAAGCTAAAATATGTGGACTATTTGTCCAATGCAAGATGTGGGAAGTTGCGAATATTCATATGTCGTCACCCGGGTCTCAATCCAAGCCTTCTCTTGCTTGTGTTGATCAAATACTTTATTACTTTTCTGGTTAGTTTTTTTTTCCCCTGGTGTTACTTCAGTTTGTTTGCTTGTTAATTAAAATTTAGGTTAAAATAGCATTAGTTTTGCAGTATTTACCAAATTAAAATGGGGTGCTGTCATTGGACCTCTGCATCAATTAAAAGGCTCTCAAAAAGGGAAAAAGCTAAAATTTTGGCTGTTAATACTCATGGACCATGCCTAGTTACATTTTGTCCAACTAGAATTAACAGTTTTATTCATATTTTTAGTGGTCTGCGTATCCTAATAGTATGCTGGTAAAGTAATTTAGGTCTACTGAAGTTAGTTATGGATCCTAGCTTTCCCATTGCAGAAATGCTATCTTTTCGACAGTGCAAATATATTTGAGGGGAAGGGTAATAACCATTTGCTGGCTGTCCACTAGAAGCACTCCAGCAGTTTATCACACTACATTGCATCTTTAGACAGAAAGAAGCTTTTAATCACCTGCTGCTGTGGGTCCTGTTATAATGAAAACTGACCCGCTTGCGGGATTTCATCCTAAACATTACAAAAATTACAGTTGAATACAGTTGTGTTCAACCTGCACAGTGTTGTGTTTCCACCATACATTGCAACATTTGTGTATGTGTTCAAGCAGTGTGGTTCATTTTCAGCACTTAGTTTAAATTAAGAGCTGATCCTTCAGATCAGAATGCCAGTGCGGCCACAGCTGCGCTGAGAGTACACTGGATAAAATGGATAAACCCCTGCCCTCACTGTTTGTAAATTACCTTGCATGCCCTGTCAGTGAATAAGACACCCAGCTCGGACCTGTTAGTGTTCTCTGAAGCTTCCAGTAAGATCCATGACAATATACAAAACAGGGTGTAATTTTGATAATTACATATTTATAAGAAAGATGTTTTAAGTGCAGACCATAAGCAGCACTGGGGCACGAAGGAAATATTGATGTGTTTTGTGCAAAGTTATTTCCTCAGAATAAATACACTTCAGAGTGAATTAAAGCTGCTGAATTATTTCCTCGATGTTGCACATCAGAATCGAGTTAATCTGAGGGATGTATTTGTCTAACGGGGATCATTACAGCTCCTATCAAGTGTCTCATGTGCCTCAAGTGTTCATTAGAGAAGTGTTGCTTGCATTTTAATTGGTTTAAAAGATGAATAGATCAGCAGATGGATCATGCACAGTGCTTTCCATTGTGTTTGGAGTGTGTATTGATAAATTGGACATTGTGCTTGACAGCAGTGGATCTGATTGTAATAAAAAATAAATCAATAAAATCTTGCACCTAAATGGTCTGCAGGGGGAAAATACACACAGCAGTGCAGAGAAAAATAGCTTAAATTCAAGGTTACCACAGACTCCATCGATCTGAAATTATATGCTTGCGCATCCACATCATCCACTCTTTGACTGCACAAATAGAGCAACTCTGAGTCTGATTGGACCATTGCTAATTGGTCTAAAGTGAACACCCTTTTGTTGGTATGAGCAAAGGAAATCGCAAAGAAAAAGAATGGAAATCTTTGTCTTCGCTAACTTTGGGTTGGAGACAATGCTAATCTAACTTAGCTGTTAGCCTTAGAGATACATACTGGAGTACAGTCATCAGTATGGCACTTCGTGTATCCATTCTGTTTGCAGTATCTGACTTGGGTGTGAGCCTAAATCAGGCAATGCAAGTGTTGGTTATCAGGCCATTACAAAGAAGAGACTGTTGAAGAGACTATTGATTTGTTTATATTTCATCCAGTTTTTGCCTAAACTGACCTTGGTTGTTAAGGTTAGCATGCAGGCGACAGTCAGATAGGTGGTTAACGCAGCACTCAAGCTGTGCTTGAATTACCTGTAGGCGGGAAAAGGTGAAGGTAAAATTGTCAACCTGGAAATTGCTATGATAAACTTTTACAGTTAGCTACAACTATGTATAAAATATATGTAACAAGGTTTCGCAGTTGGTATAAATTACCACATGATGGTAACTAGCCATTTTGTCAAGTTGTAACTGTAAAACACAATAAAAAATCCTAACACTTAATCTTTTGCTAGCCTAAAGACATCTAACCTACTCATTTCGCTTTCTCCCTCAATCAAAATGGTGGCTCAAAGTAATTGGGTACGGAAAGTAGCATGATATGACATCACACGCCAAAGACCACCCATTTAGCTCATTTTCTCGACACCTCATTGGTTGGGCTTGGGCATGTATCACGTGACTTGCTGCTGTGGGGGGTGGGGGGTCGCAGGAGCCACGCCCCCTACCTAGCTATTAGATGGGAATGGTAAATGTGGGCTCACCAGGTCAGATGTGGCATGAAATTCAGAAAGTGAACCACAGAGTGCGTCACCTGGGCAACCGGGAGCCGGGCTGAGGGTCCCAGTGAGAGAATAAAAAGTTATTCAGGTTTTAGCAGGCGAGCTCTCCCATTGGTCAGTTTGTGCTGTATGCAAATGAGGCACCTACGTCAGATCCTGAACTTGAGCGCCATTTTTTCCTCAATAGGGGGGAAGAAAGGGACAAAAGCTGGACCAAAAAAGAAAAAAAATAACTTGTCTCCGGAGTGGGTTCGCAAACATCACGTTTCATATTTAAGCAGGGTGTTCGCAGAGCGGTGTGCACGGACAGCGAATGCCGCTCGGGGGAGCGTCTGCGCGCAGCACCGCCTGTAGACGCAGCTCACTGACACACACAGTTGCGGGCCGGTGGAAGTGGGAAAACCCTTAGCTCTGTCGGTGGTGGCACAGCGACAACTAACGTTAATCTACGCTGAAAATTGGACGAGGTAAATATGTGCGAGGAGGCTGTGGGCATCCTCGAGTAGGCGGATGCGCCCTCGCCGTCTTAGTCACCGGCTTGTTGCTGTCAGCGTGCCTCCCCGGGCTTTTTTAGGACTTCAGTGCGGCCAGCAGACACATTGTAGTGTTAGCATGGATGGCATGTGTGAGGGGGACAGGCTTTTAGTTTACAGGTGATCTAAATCTCGCACTTTTAACTGACTAAAAATAACTTTTTTGTAGTGCTCACTGGCGAACGGCTGGTGTTTTTGCACAGATGCTGAGAGTGATATCAGCTGATGCACACTAACTGTTACGGCTTTTATTTGTGTTACCACAGAGCCTGTGCAGACATTATACCCATATTCAGCCATGCTGTGATTCTCATCAATCAGTACTAAATACAGGCAGGTTGTCACTATGCTGCAGTGGATTATTTAACTACATCATTATTACCCCGTCCCTTATTCCATCTTCATTTACGGTTTATGTGTTTTATTTATTGGCATAATAGGGTTATAAATTATTGATGTAATACTGCATACATTACCTGACCTCAGCTAACCTTTGTTATTCTGCCCAGTGTGTGCCATTTTCACCTTTTCACCATACTATTCACTTGTTTTGGGGCTACAGAAAATATTTTTACTAATTTAATGATGCTACAAGCAAAAAACAATGGTAATTTTGTAGGCTGGGAAATATGATGTATGTTTGCACTATAAATGCAATAAAAGCACATTTTGATAATTGTTTTATAATTAATAGAAGAGCACGAATGCTTTGTAACCAGTTGAAAACTTATTTTCCTTTATAAGGGCTTGTGAGGAATCATGTATCAGGTCCCAGTTGGAAATATCGAAAAGATCCGCAAAGCGAGGAAGGCAGTGAAGAGCATCTTGAGTGAGATCGGCCTGGAAGACTGTCAGAACCTGCTGAAGGTAGGTTTCTGTCGTGGAGAATAATCTGACAGATCTCTGGGCTTGAGTGTTGTTTACTCTGTTCTGCTCTAGTAACAGCAACTCAAGTAGAAAGAAAGCAGAACGTGCTGATTTTCAGAAATGCGTTAGCCCATGTTTGTTTGAAAATAACATAAAAGCATAACATACCTAATTAGTTTAATTGGTGACCGTTCAGTAACATGGCTAGGTATAAGAAGAAGTCTCTTCAAAAAGAATAGTGGCCCTCAGTGTAAAAACCGCAGCATTTCATCATCTACATTGTCGTAAAAATGTGGCGTCTTAAGGGTTTTGCGCTGGTTGTGGCTGCGATAGTTGCCCTAAGGAGGCCCGGGATCAGAGAGGACAGAGTACTCAGTGGATTTTCTTCACTCATTGATTTATTAGAAATGCCAGAGACACAGGGGGGGCGGCTCACAGCTGTTAGTGCCCTGCCAAGGCTTTGAGCCGAGGTTGGCAAACGTGTGGCTCCCGCTCCCTGCAGCTAAGACAAAAGAAAGAGAGAGGAGAAAAAAAATGACTTTATTATGGAGTAGTTATTTTTCATTTTTAGTTCTTGTATTTGTGAGTAATGTTTTGCATTTTCCAGTTGTAAAAATGTTCTGCCTTTAAAAATCAAAAAAATGAATCAGTTAAATCAGAGC